ACGACAAAGAAAACAATCAACAGAGTAAAGAAGCAATCTACAGAATGGGAGAAAATATTTGCAAACTATATACCTGAAAAAGGATTAATAAGCAGGATATACAAAGAACAACTAACTAACTTAGCAACAAAAAGAAAAAAAGAAAAGAAACACACACACACAACAAATAATCCTATTAAAATGGGCAAACCATCTGAATAGATATTTCTCAGAAGTACACATACAGGGTCACCCAGTAGTGTGCTGGTTCAGGATCACATGGCCAACAACTTGGTTCGAATCCCAGACTTGATTACTCAAGAAACCAAATACACGCATGTACCCAGAGCAGTGAAACACACTGGGCATGTATGTCCAAAATCCCAAAGGGAGAGAGAGGTCGAGGAGAAGGGATTGCGGTGTGACCATTCCCAAGTTATTTCCTCACTTCCACTTTCTCTTTCCTTCTCTTTCTCTCTGTCTCTCTGGCAAATGCATGTGCCCTCTCTGGAAAATTATTTTTAAAAAGTACACACACAAATGGTCAGCAAGCATATGAAAATGCTCAACATCACTCGTCATCACAAAAATGCATATGAAGGGAACCAGCAGTTAGCATAATGGCTATGTCACTGGACTCCCACGTAGTCAACCACTGTTCACGTCCCGGACCCGGTGGCTTAAAACTCACGCCAGGCACGTGTGCGTGCGTGCCCAAGATCTCGAGAGGAGAATGGAGGAGAAGGGATTGCGGCGTGACCATCCCCCCGGGGGGTGATTTCTCACTTTCTGTCTCTATGTCTGTCTCTGTCTGTCTGGCGAGTGCACGTGCCCTATAGCCAAAAAAAAAAAACACTCTCCAAAAAAAAAAAAAAAGAAGTGCATATGAAAACCACAATAAAACATCATCTCACCCATTAGAAGGCTATTATCAAGGGACAAAAATAAAAAATGCTCACAAAGTTTCAGAGAAAGGGACCTTATTATACGTTGTTCATGGAACAATAAACTAGTACAGCCATTATGGAAAACAGTATCCTCAACAACAGCAATAAGAAAACAGAATTGGAATATGACAAAGCAATCTCACTAACAGACATATACCCAAGGAAATACGTCACAGAGACATCTGTGTCCAGTGTTTCCTGTAGCACTAATCACAACAGACGAGACAGGGAATCAACGCAAATGTACACCTACAGATAAATGGACAAAGGAAAGACGGTACAGTGGAATACTAGTTGGCCGTTAAAAAGAATGAAATCCTGCCAGAAAAACAAAAATCACATGTGTTTTCACTCACGTGTGGAAAATTAAAAAAAAAAAAACACAAGGTGCCTTTAGAGCATGCCCCAAATCCTGACAGGATGGAGAGATGGAGAAGAGACTGCAGCATGGCCACGCCCTACCGAGGGGGGCTTCTCCCTCTCTCTCTCTGGTAACTAAAAAAAGAGGAAAGCAGTTTGGCAGTGTCTGAAAATGTTAAACGTGTATCTGCTGCATCACCCAGCCATTCCATGCCAGATGTGTACTCCGGAGCAATGATGTTCGTACTTATGCTCATCCACGAACACTCACGGCACCCTTATTTGTAATAGCCCCAAGTTAGAAACAGCCCAAGGTCCATCGATAGGTAAATAAACAAACTGTGGCATGTCTATACAAGGGATTCTGAAAGAATAAAATTAACTGATAAATGCTGCAACATGAATGAATCTCAACATAAATTTGCTGAGTGAGAGAAGCCAAAGTAAAATAAGCATGCAGTGTATGACTCCATTATGTAAAATTCTAGAAAATGCAAACAAATCTATAAAGCCAGAAGGCAGAACAGTGCCGGGAGCAGAAGGCCAGGAGGGACCCAAGGCACAGGAGGACACTTTGGGGACAACAGACATGCTACTGTCATGTTTGTGGTGAGAGTTGAACAGTGTCCTCACAGGTCAGAATTCGCCAAGTTATATGGTTTAAATATGGGCAACTTACTGTCTGTTAACTAACTCGATAAAACCGTTTAAAATGTTGGAGAACTGCATAATGTTGCTACATTTTGTCAAGTGGGATACTCTTCAAAAACTACCTGCTTTAGGTCAGTCAGTGCCATGATGGTTAAGGTGGCTGGATTCTACTGGCTGGCTGAGCAGTTCGGGTCCCAGACCCAGTGGTTCGAAGAACACGCCAGACGCATGTGTATGCATGCCCAAAATCCTGAGAGGAGAATGGAAGAAGAGGAACTGCAGCATGGCCGTCCCCTCTGGGAGGTGATTTCTCACTTTTCCTCTCTCTTTCTCTGTCTCTCTCAGGGAGAGCAGGCAGCCTATGTTAAAATGAACCCTCCCCCCCCAAAAAAAACCTACCTGCTTGCCCACCAACACTCAAAGACATTTTATAACTAAAAGATACAATGGTCACATTTTATACTGAGAGTCCTTCCCAAGAAAGCGTGGCTGCTAACCTAGGAAAAACTACACTGGCCTTACTTTCCTCGTCGGGAGGAAGTTTCAGATCACTTCTGCGACTGCTGGCAGGGATGCTCTGCCGGCTCTCCAGGCCCAAGGAAAGCCCTCACCGGTGAGTTCCCATGTCCAAACTGGCAGTTCCCCTGGAAGGGTGGCTGAGGACAGCCACAGGCGTTCTGGGGCTGAAACTCCACCTCCCCTGTGGAGGACATGCTCAAAAGGCTCCGCTGGGCTGAGCAACAGTGAACAGACTTGTTCCTGCAGAGCCACCAGCCCCAGGCCACAGGAGCTGTAGCTGCTGCTAGGAGAATCCCACGTGTCAGCATTCAACTCTTCTCCCGGATTGCTCCAGGCTAAAGCGCACCAAGCTACCACAGAAATAAAATGGATCTCCGAGGAAGACTGTGACAGACTGGAACCCTGCTCCCAGGCCAGACTGCGAACAAAACCCAGGAGATCGGCAGCAAGGTCCTGGGACCCGAGGGAGATGGCAGGGCCAGTAGTCCTCAGGCGCTTCTGGCTGAGGGTGGGCTCCCCACGCACAGTGCTTCAGGCGGGCCCCAGCCCTACCTATCAGGAGGGAGCCACCTCCACACACACCCAGATATACACACACACTTGACTACTCTAGAAAGCAAGGACACACATGCACCCAGAGCAGGGTCCTGCACGAGACCCTCCTGTGCCTCAGCACCCATGCTCCATCCCCACGTGTCCCTGCACACGGCCACCATTTGGCCACCTTCAGCCTGAGGCGTGGTGCACACCTAGCACACTCCACCCTCCACTGGACGTGTCCAGGGAGGAGGCCCACGCAGGTCTGGGGAGTGGGCCAGGAGCTCCATCCCTGTGCATGGTCTAGAAAGTACCAGCCCTGGGCCTCTCAGATTCCTCGCTTTATGAGGAGAGTCACACTGAAAGAGGAGCAAGGGTCCCTTGTGTCCAGTCATGAAAGGCCAAGGGGCTCCCCTGCACTCCCTACTGCCCCAGCACACCTACTCACGGAGCCATAGCCTCACAGCAGTGAAAGGAGGTCCCTGCCTCCACCTCGGTTCAGAGGCCCTTTCCTGCCATCAACGACCTCCACCCACACCCATCCTAAGGGAGTCTCGGCCTCACTGGACTTCAGACCAGGATGCCCCCAACTGGGCCTCAGTCCTTGATACTAGAAACTCCACTTGGCGAGCCTCCCTGACTCTCCCTCAGGACTCTGTTTCCAGCAATCACCCATTGGTCACACAAAGGGGACAACAGTCCCCTCTATCCTCGGGGCTGCTCTGGACCCGACTGCCAGGAGGAATAAGTACCTGCTGCAATGCTCAGCACCGAGCAAACGAGCCCGATCCCTCCTCCATGGCATGGGCTGACTGCAGAGACAACCCTGGCATCAGTCCTGTCCCCAACTGCAGAGATACAGTTTGTGCCTGATGCCAAGTATGGCCGGCCTCAGAGGGAGGCAGAGCTGCAAGGTTATTAAATGTAAATATTGAGAGAACTAGCAGCTGTCGGTGCCAGGGGGATGGCAGCTTGCAAACTTCCAGTCAGAAGAAAGATTCTGTTATGTCAGGGCTGAGTCACGACCACAAACGCTGTTTCATGCCACCCGCCATAGAGGAAGCGAGGTTTTTTAAAGCAACTTTTCAGAAAGTCACTCTGTCCATTGGCGAGCGCCGTTGTAAGTTACAAGAAAACGATTGTCTGGTGGAGAAAAACCAGTGTGCGTGTCTCTTCAGCCAAGAACTAAGCAACACGCATTATATAACTCTAGAGAAAAATTTGGGGGACTGCAAATGGTAAATATATGTACTCAATAATTCAGGGTCTGTAATGTCCACCTCATTGAAGCCCTAAAGCAGGAGTCTCCAGCTGCTGAGCCTGAGGACCGGTGCTGGTCTGTGGCTGGCCGGCCCCACCCCACTCCGCCCCACTGTGCAGCAGGAACAGGGGATGGGCTTAATCCGTGTCTGCAGCCGCTTCTCAGCTCTCGCATAGACACCTGGGCCCCACCTCTTATTGGATCAGCTGCAGTATTGGATTTTTTAAAAAGAATTATTTATTTTTAATTTATTACCATTATTTAATTTGACGGGGGGTGGCGGGGAGCAAGCCACCAGGTCCAAGACACAAGCCAGAGTTGACCATGTGGGAGTCCAGCACTCCACCGGCCCGCGGTATTGGATTTTCACGGGAGCACAAAACAGGTACACTGAATTTGTTTGCTGGCATTTCTGATAATGTCCTCAGGCTGGCTGCTGACAGGATGTCCCCACCTACTTGCCAGCCCTTTGGTGTGTGCGCTATTTTAAACTGCTGAAGATTTCTAAATTACGTGAGCCTACAAGTTTTTGGTAAAAGTAAGAGACAAAAATGCACAGCTTCAAAAGAGGAATTCTGGGAATGAGCACATGTTAAAAAACAAAACAAAGCACTGCAAGGAAGGTGACTTGGAGCTTTAAAGGGAGCTGGTGGGACAGCGCCTATCCCCCACCAAGCAACTTCAGACCCACACTTGTAAGACCAAGAAGGGAACCCAGAAGGAAATAAAATCAGCATTAGAGAAAATAAAGGATAAGCCCAGAATTTATTATACCAATCGTTTCACTCAGACTTTGTAAAAGCAGTGGAGCACTCCAGGAGTCCAATCAGGTCAGTTTTTCCCATGACTATGGGTGGTCAGGACTACCCTCCGGCCCTGCAAGGCCATGTTTCAGTGGGACTCTCAGACCAGGCTCAGTTCTGGGGCCCATAAACCGGCCCCAGGCCTGGGAAGCAATAGAAACGTGAAGGGAGAGCACCCTGTTCAACCCAGAACAACCCTGGGTCAACGGTTGCTAAGGAATCACGCCCCAGGGTCAGGGACAGAAGGTCAGGTCCCTAAATAAGTCGGCACATCTGCGCCACATCACCCAGCCCCGGGCAGCTAAGCAGGGACTTCTCAGGGAGATAGAACAGGACGCTTGCAGAGGACATGGGGAGCCTCTGGGGCTTCGTACTGACCCTCCGGCTTGGTTGAGGAGCTCCCAGGATGACATGGGGCTTCCCTCCAGCCCCAGCCAGAGCCGTCACCACACACACTGCCACAGCTCAGCCAGTTGCCTAGGCAACCACAACCCAGACATGTTTAGGCATCCGTAGAAACCAGGGCGAAGTACATTTCCACACTCGTGATAAAAGTGCAGGCTGCCAAGCAGAGCAAGCGTTGCTCTAAAACGTGGTCTTATTGACAGAATAAACAGGGATGGGCAGAAGCAGGAAGCCGGGCAGCGCCGCACCGAGCCGAGCCAAGGCCGTCAGACCGGCCCCGAGCACTGGCACCAACGCCACCGTGCTGGGGAACAAGACGGTTGTTGTGCCCTGCGCTGGGCGTTTCCTCTTAGGTCCACCTCGGCGTGGAGTCGTCTTCTTGTTCCCTTCCGTTGTGAATGTCAGCTTTTCTTAGCTGGGATAAGAGGAATCAAGTGAGTTTTTGCCCCCAGTGTGGCCAGAGAACTAACGGGAAAGGCAGGGGGTGGTGGTGGAGGCCAAGCAGGAACCCAAAGGAAGGAAAGGTGGGTGCCAGCCACTGCCTGCCCGCGGCCGCCTCGTCCCCATCCTGCTAAGCACCTTGACAACAACAACCAGGACCACAGGACTCCCAGTCAGTCTGAGAGAGAGAGCACCTGAGGGACAGGGAAGGTGGGAGGTGAGTCAGCCCCTGGGAGGGGACGTGGTGACGGGCACACGGGGCTTCAGAACGGAAAAGCAGAGGCCAGGAGGTGGTGTGGTGGTTAAGGTGCTAGACTCCCACATGCCAGCCAGAGTTCAAGTGCTAGACGTGGCAGCCTGGAAATCATGGGGGGAGGGCAGCAGGTAGCGTGGTAGTTAAGGCACTGCACTCTCACAGAGCCGACCGTGGTTCGAGTCCTGGACCTGACGGCTTGCTTTCTCACTGTCTCTCTCCAGTAAGCACACATGCCCTGTAGCAAATTTTTAAAATAGCTATGATGATAATAAAATGAATAATAACTCAAACAAAGAAACAAAATCATGCCAGGCACATGTGCATGCGTGCCCAAGATCCTAGGAGGAGAACAGAGGGGAAGAGATTCTGACACGGCCATCCTTCCTGGGCATCACTTTCTCACTGTCTCTCTCTGTCTCTCTCCAGCAAGCGCATGCACTCCATGGCAAAAACATTAAAAAAAAAAAAAAAAAAAAAAGACTACGAATAGAAAAAGCAAACAAAAAGCCAGGAGAGTGAGCACCCTCCTGTGTCAAATGATTTTTCTGCTTTCTCGTTGTCAGCTCCCAGCGCCACCCCTTGGCGATGTCTGTCTCTCGCACAGAGGTGGGGGATCTGTGAGAGTAGCACCGGCAAACACGGAGCCTCACGTGACCCAGGCTGTCCTGACAGACGAAGACACCAGCAGAAACTGCCTGCGTAGCTCTCCCAACACGCATTTGTAAGTGAGCAAAAGAAAGCCAGAACGAGTTCTGCAAGCACCTGTGGGGTCCACACGCTGGGCGACTCGGCCCAGGAAGGAGCACACACACAGCGCCATCCTCGGGAACGGAGCGCGCGGGCTCGGCGGGTCCTGGGAGCACTAAGGACTTTCTCCAAGCTAGTTTCTTGCTCGTGAAAGTAAAGCATCCAATGCAAGTAAAACGATATCTAGAAACTTAGGAAGGAAATGTGACTCATTTAAGAAACCCTCATAAAAGCTTATCTCACAGACTCTTAGAAGTTTTAAAGGCCAAGGCACTTTTAAAGAAAAGAATCCCTGGGACTGGCAGTGGCCTAGAGGTTAAGGCAGTCGATCACACGCAGCCAACTCCGCAGTGTGAGTCCCTCACCCAGCAACTTAAGCATACCAGGCATGTGTGTGTGCATGCCCCGAATTCCGAAAGGAGGGAGAAGTGCAGGAGAAGGGATTGCGACCAGACCGTTCCCTATGGGGTGCTTTCTCCTCTCCCGCTCTCTGGCAAGTGTACATATCCTCTAGCACAAAAAGTAAAATAAAATAATTTTAAAAACTTAAACAATTTCCCATCTTTTAACCCAAAAATAGAAAAATAAGCTTATAAGCAGCAGAGCACATTTTCAAAGCATTCTAAGGTGTTCATACACTTTAATCTAAGATGTCCATTTCTCAGAAATTTTTCTTAGAATAAATATGAGAAAAGAAAAATGAAATTGTAAACTGCAAAGTTATCTACATTAGCGGAAAGTGGGAGTAACCTAAAGCGTCCCGCACCCCGGAATGTTTCGATTTCATTACATCAGCAGGATAATGCAGCCCTTCTAAAGATGGTGCAGACATGTAGAAAATATTCGATAAAGTATTTCAGTGAATCTAAATGATACAATGGTTAATAATATACCCAGGACACAATCACAACATATAATCTAAAAATAAAATATTTAAGTATATCTAAATAGTACAGTCAAAAGAGTCATTTCCATTTCTGAAAAGCAGACAGACACGTCAGATCAGCGCAGGCTTCACGTGCTCTCCCGTTACAGCCCAGATGGCCCAGGGCCAGACCCTTCATTCCGGCTCCCTCCACCTTCCTCCTGTGCCATCCTGGGGTTGCTGCAAGCATGGACTGACACAATACGCCTCTCCTGCCTCTTCTTGGTATAACGCAGGGGTGTCAACAGGGGACAACTACTGCTTCTGTGTTACTTCATCTAAAATACATAAGAATCTCTATGCAGGAGGCAATTAAAAATAGAGCTCTTGGGACCAGCTGATGGTGTAATGGCTACATCGCTGAATCCCAGGAAGTCGATCGCGGTTCGAGTACCAGACCTGGTGGCTTAAACTCACGCCGGGCGCTTGTGCATGCGTGCCCAAGATCCCAAGAGGAGAATGAAGGAGAGGGGACTGCGGCATGGCCATCCTCCCTGAGGGGTGATTTCTTGCTTTCTGTCTGTCTCTCTTTCTGGCAAGCGCACATGCCCTATAGCAAAAACCTCTCAAAAAAAAAGACATCATCACATCCCAACCAGAGGCACCGAGGGAGCCATCCCGAGCACGTGAGCCCGCTGAAACCCCAGCCGCAGCCTTGGAGGTCTGTGCGGCCGAGACTGCTCTGCGGCTCCGTGGAGGGCCACAGCCCGCAGTCTTGGCATGCTCTGCTGACGACAACATAATTGGGCATAATGGAATCCCAACGTAGTATAAAATACAAAGTGTTCAGAGTATAGTTTGGGCATCGCTTTATAATAATAAAGTTCCATTTGATTCAACAGGAAATTTCAAAACACCAGCCACAGTTCATTCTATAAAGACCACCCTGCAGGTCCAGGCAGAGGCCCAAAACCAGCCTGGCTGGGAGCTCTGGGCTGGGCTCAGAGGTCCATGTGGGGTCCTGGTCGGTGGCCTCAAACAGAGCCACTGACCTATCTATTCCTCTTTTTCAAACTCCTCAGGACGATGCAGAGGGACCAACAAGGCTGTTCCGAAAACAAAATGAGAACTGCAGGGAAGGTCTTGGTACAGTGCAGAAGTCCACGCCAAGGTGTTTTTAGAAATACTTAGGTTAATTTTAAAACGTCGACTTATTACTTAAATCTTCTTTCTAAAAGTAGAGGGGCAGCAGCACACTTTGACCGTCTCCGCTGCACGTGGCCCAGCCTCAGCCCACGCGTGACCAGCGCACAGCTTGGCCATTGCGTTTCAGGTCCTTGGATCTTTCATCACCTACCTAAGAGCCACCTAAGAGTCACAATCGTAGTCGCTCCCTTCTGATCCTGAGTAAAAGTAGAGGGGCAGCAGCACACTTTGACCGTCTCCGCTGCACGTGGCCCAGCCTCAGCCCACGCATGACCAGCGCACAGCTTGGCCATTGCGTTTCAGGTCCTTGGATCTTTCATCACCTACCTAAGAGCCACCGTCACAATCATAGTCGCTCCCTTCCGATCCTGAGTCACGAAGTGTGGTCAGGGCAGTGCCCCTTCGTCCCAGGGCAGGCCTTCTGTAACCATCACATTAACCTCGGGGGCAGAACCACCAGTCCAGAGGGAGCATGACTCCAAGGCAGGGCAACCACAAAACCCACAAAGGGATGACCATCTCGGGCCATCACCCCAACCAGGGAGACAGAAGCAGACAGATGCTTCAAGAGGGTGTGAAGAGAGACAGGCCTCACTAAGGGTCAGGATTCGAGGGTCTCCACCCAGGGCCTGAGGCCTCACCCACACCCAAGACCCCGATGGCATTCCTCTGACCTCGAGTTAGGGAGGAAAGGTTCAAACACATTACATACACTGTGGCTGGAGGAGAGAACAAAACATTCTGGAAGAATTTTCAATCAAATTCAAATAAAGTCCATTTGAGCATTTGAAAGCTATATTTTATTTAATTAGCAAGTCACTTGGGCAGACGTTGCACTTTGAGCCCACAAGATCCTGAGCGAGCACTAAGGTCCAGGCACATGCACTGAGCCCTGGGGCCTATCGCCTCACACTGTCCTAGCAGTCCCCGGAGGAGAGGCTGCTGGTTCCCTGGTACAGCAGACTGAGTGTGTGTGCCCCCAAATCCGCAGGCCTGTCTCCTCCATGTGACAGTGGGGGCGGTGGCCTTTGTGAGCTAGGTCCGGAGGGTGGAGCCCTCGGGGTGGGGTAGTGTCCTTAGACAGGGGACCTCCGTGAGGGCTCCCGCATTCTTTGGGCTGTGTGAGGCCCACCAGCGACAAAGCCGACTGAGAACCAAACCATGCTGTCACCCTGACCTCAGCCTTCCAGGTGCCGAACCGTGAGAAAATACTTTCTGCTGTGTTTTTCTTATTAACTTTTTAAAAGTTTATTTATCGATTCCATGAGTGAAAGAGTTCCCCCAAAAGGGTCTTCTGGTTTGCTTTTGCCATCGGGCATATGCACTAACCAGAGACAGTGAGAGAAAAAGTGGAAAACTGCGCCCCCCATGGTCCCTTGTTACAAACCACCCAGTCTGCGTGCTTCCTGACAGCAGCTGCGCTAAGGCCCCTAGTTTTGGAGACACTGAAGCTTTTGGCCAAGGAAGGGCCATTCAGCCACTTAGTGGTAGAACCAGAGCCCAAACCCAGGGCTGCTGGACTCCAAACCAGGTTTTGACCCTCTAACCCCACGCTACAACACCCCCTTTTTACCGGTAAGAGTGGGCACTGCGTCCTGATCTCACCTCTGTGAACACAAAGCAGCTGCTCCGTCACCGACCAAAACGTGCCACAGCCAGAGAGGAGTCAAGAGGCCATTCTCACTCAGGAGCCCCTCCTTAGAGGGCTGAGCCACTTCCTAGGAGTGTCAAGGGCAATCCTCAAGCCTCCAGGGACAAAGGTGACCTTTGTCAAAATGAGCCCCACCTGCATTCCTGACATTTCTGAGGGAGGGAGAGAGAGAGAAAAAGACAGGTATCTGTGACAGGATCTCACCTCGCTGTGTGGCAATCCTACTGGCCAGCCTCCTGGACAGCTAGGACCACAGAGCCAGCAGCCCGGGCCTCCAGTGAGGCCTCTGCCACACGCAGCAGCATCCTCCCACTTGTGCCACTGCAGCTGGGCCCAGGCCAACTTCACTGACGGCTCCCCAGAGCCCTTCCTTCTGAGTTAACACCCTGAAATGACTCCCCATTGAACTCCATCCTCCAGGAGAAGGCCCAGACTCCTCCCTTGGCATACAACCGGGCTGGTCACAGGCTGAAGCCCTCCTGCCCTCCATCCACAGCAGCCCTCTGGCACCCATGTTCTTTACGACTGTCAGGGACCCAGGACACTCCTGGAGAGCCCCTGTGGCAAACCCTCCAAAAGTCACCTCCCTGAAGGTCAGCTCTCTGCAGTCCTAAGGGCAGCCAGATCAGCCTGTCTCTGTCCCCTCTACTTTACTTTTGTTTTTGTTTTTTAAAGAGTTACTTATTTCATTTTTATTTTTTTATTTATTTGTTTAAATTTGACCAGAGAGAGAGAAACAAAGTGAGAAAGTAAGCCACCAGGTCTGGGACTCAAATTGCAGTCAGCCATGTGGGAGTCCAGAGTCTCAACCACTGCGCCACCTGCCGGCCCCACATCCCCTCTACTTTGCACGCATTCCTATCTGGTGTAGCACAACGAGACAGGACTGTTTCTAGGCCTGCCTCTAGGCTGCGCTGTCTCCACTGAGCATGAGAATCATCTCAGTCTCAGGATCCAAGAGCCGAGTGCCAGGGACACTACACAGTGACCAGGACAGCCCCCGCAACCCACCTCACCCATTCCCACCACCCACAGCCACTGGCTCTGGCCACACAGCAGCTGAGACAGCCTCCACATGCTCTCGGCCCAGGGAGGGGCATGAAAATAAGAAGCAGGCACCTCCCCGGCAGCTTATGGAGTCCCCGCTCACCACTGGACAGCCCAGCCACACTCTTGATGTTGAAATCACAGCCCAGCTGGAGGTGACAAACTGAACTACAGTGCTGGAAGCCATGTGGCCAGCCAGGTTCAGATCTCCAGGTGAGCTTGAAAACACACTGGGCCCATCTTCGTGTCCCCAGACCCAGGGGACCTGGAGGGTTCGGGGAGGGAATTGTGACATGACGAGACCCTACTGGAAGGCTTCTCAGTCCTCTTTCGTGTGCATGCATATGCACGTTTATCAGTAAGATAAATTAAAGCTTTGGAAATCAGGAGGCTGGTGGAAGGGAAGGGCTGACCAACAGGTCCGAGTTTCCTGGTCAGAGTAAACAGCAGCAGAACTGATGAGGAAGGACGTCCTTGGTCCACACCCCTGGGGCTACGTGGTGCCATCCTGCACAGTGACAGAGCTGACAGCCCAGCACAGGCCATGCCTCTGACAGCCTCATCTCCTCTGCAGGCTTCTGCCTTTGCTGATTCTCTCCAGCTTAGTGCTCAGAATTCACTGCCTGCCATTGGCCTCCATTAACTGCTCTCT